GAATTTGATTTTTTATTCTGTAATTTTTCTTCCACTCTTCCAGGACCCTCTGTTGTGATCCCAGTCAGAGCAATTGGTAGTGGTAGCTGGGCACCATCTAGTTCTTCTGGTCTCAGGGTCATGTAGGCTGTGGTTCATGTGGTCCATTAGTCCTTCAGACTAATTGGTCCTGTGGGTCTTTGGTTTTCTTAATTCTCCTTTGCTCCAGGTGGTAGATGGCCACTCACAAGCTTTAAAGACCCCCAGACGCTACTCACCAAAGTAGGATGCAGAACATCTTCTTTATAAACTCTGTTATGCCAATTGATGTAGATGTTCCCCGATTCTATGGTCCTTTGTCTTCTAGCCTAGGAACTTCATCCTGCGAGGTGTTTGGTTATGTCTAAGAGGTTTCCCTGACTGCACCCCTTGTGGGCTCCATATGAGCCACACCTACAGTCATGTATGTAGAAATATCCACCACCAAACCTGTATCTGCCAGTGGGCATATTCCCTTACATCTTCCTACACCTCTTGGTGTATCTAGATACCTATGTATCTATTTGTGAATTATTATTTGAATTATTATTTGTTAATATTATTGTTGCAGGATTGTCTAAGCTATTGTAGTTAACTATAGTTGCCCTTTATTTCTGTGTTCCTGTTAGTGTCCTCTCTTGCCTTGGTCATGTTGTGCTGACTTCGCCCATATCATATATTGCCTTTCCCTTCACCACTATTAACACGTCTTCTATTTCATTGGTAATTTTCCCTCCTTCCCTGATAAACATCAAAGAATGTTTTTCTTCCTTTTTTTTTTTTTTCTCTGTGTAAACCTTTCGTTGTTACTTTATGATAGTGGTCTCATACAATATTTGTCCCTTTCTGATTGACTTATTTCACTCAGCGTAAGGTCCTCCAAATTCATCCACGTTGTCAGATGTTTCACAGATTCTTCATTATTCTTTATTGCTGCATAGTGTTCCATTGTGTGTGTGTACCATAATGGGCATTTAGGTTGTTTCCATCTTTTTGCTATTGTGAATAATGCTGCAATGAACATGCATGTGCCTATGTCTGTTCATGTCACGGCTCTTATTTCTTTAGGTACCTAGAAGTGGGATTTCTGGATCATATGGTATTTCTATTCCCAGCTTCTAGGAAGTGCCATACTGCTTTCCATAGTGGTTGTACCATTTTGCATTCCCATCAACAGTGTATAAGAGTTCAGACCTCCCCACAATCCCAGAAACATTTGTTATTTTCTTTATTATTATTTCCAGTATTGTCAGGGCAAAATGGTATCTCACTGTAGTTTTGATTTGCATCTGTCTAATTGCTAACGATTGCAAGCGTTTCTTCATATGTTTGTTAGCTGCCTGAATGTCTTCTTTGGTGAAGTGTCTGTTCATATCCTTTGCCTATTTTTTTTATTAGATTGTTTGTCTTTTTATTGTTGAGGTGTTGAAGTTTTCTATAAATTTTAGAGATTAGTCCCTAGATGTGTTGCAGCCAAAAATTTTTCCCAGTCAGTAGGTTCTCTTTTGACTCTTTTGGAGAAGTCTTTTGTTGAGGAAAAAAAAAACTCTTCAAGTCTTCTCAAAGTTTTAGTGGCTGACATGCATTGTGGGTCTCCAAGAGGGGCCTAAAGGATACAGCTAAACCAATTTCACTGAGGAACCCTTTACTCGTCTTAATTATCTAGTGCTGCCGTAACAGAAATGCTGCAAGTGGATGGCTTTAACAAATAGAGGTTTATTTTCTCACAGTCCAGTAGGCTAGAAGTCCGAATTCAGGGCGCCAGCTCCAAGGGATGGCTTTCTCTCTCTGTCGGCTCTGGAGGAAGGTCCTTGTTGTCAACCTTCCCTTGGTCTAGGAGCTTCTCAGTGCAGGAACCTGAAGTACAAAGTACACGCTCTGCTCCTGGCATTGCTCTCTTGGTGGTATAAGGTCCCCCTGTCTCTCTGCTCGCTTCTCTTTTTTATATCTCAAAAGAGGTTGACTTAAGACAACAACCTAATCTTGTAGATTGAGTCCTGCCTCATTAACATAACTGCTCCTAATCCTGCCTCAGTAACGTCATAGAGGTAGGATTTACAACACATAAGAAAACCACATCAGATGACATAATACTGGGAATCATGGCCTAGCTAAGTTGACACACATTTTTGGGGGACACAGTTCAATCCATAACACTCATAACACTCATAGTGTTGTGGAGAAATGCAGTTTGAGAAACACTGGTTTACTGTATTAATTGAAAAATTTTGCAGGAAGAAGCTAACAGAGTTCTGAGGGTTTTTTTTTTAATCTTTTTAAAAAATTTTGAATGTTTTTAATAAAGTCATTGATGACTATGTCAATTCATTTGGTTTCAGTTTAAATAGTAGCATCATTTCATAGATAACAAAATTTGACCTCTATTTTAAAATTTATTAGACTTCTTTTTTTTATTGTGGTAGAATATATATAACAAAACATTTACCATTTTAACCTTTTTTAAGTGTACAATTCAGTAACATTAATTACATTTACCATGTTGTGGAACCATCACTATCATCTATTTCCAAATATTTTCATCACCCCAAAGAGAAACTCAGCACCCCTTGAGCAATAACTCCCGTTTCTTCCCCACTTCAACCCCTAGTAACCACTAATAAACATTTGTCTCTATGCCTTTTCAAATATGTGAAATCATACATGCATCCAGACTTCATTTCCCTTTATGACTGAGTAATATTCCATTGCATTTATGTACTACATTTTGTTTATCCGTTCATCTGTTGATGGACTTTGGGTTGTTTCCATCTTCTGTCTATTATGAATAATGAGGCAACTTGAATTGGTTTACACGTATCTGTTTGAGTCCTTGCTTTCAAGTCTTTTGCGTATATACCTAGGAGTGAGATTGCTGGGTCATATGGTAATTTTATGTTTAATTTTTTTGAAGAAGTGCCAGAGTGTTTTCTATAGTGGCTACGCCATTTTACATTCCTACCAGCAATGGATGAAGGTTTCAATTTCTCCACATCCTTGTCCACACTTGCTATTTTCTGTTGTTTTTCTGATGATTGCTATCCTAGTGAGTATGAAGTGGTATCTCATTGTGGTTTTGATTTACATTTTCCTAATGACTAATGACATTGAGCATCTCCCCATGTGCTTATTGACCATTTGTATATTATACATACATTTTTTTTTTTTTTTTTTTTGAGAAATGTCTATTCAAGTCTTTTACCCATTTTTTAATTGGGTTGTTTGTTTTTGTGTTGAGCTGTAGAAATTCTTTATATATTCTGATATTAAACCCTTATCAGATATATGGTTCCCAAATATTTTCTCTCATTCTGTAGGTTGTCTCTTCACTTTCTTAATAAAATCCTTCAATGTACAAAAGTGTTTCATTTTGATGAAATCTAATTTATCTGTTTTTTTCTTTGGTTGCTCATGCTTTTGGTATCATATCTAAGGATCCATTGTCAAAAACTAGGTTCCAAAGCTTTACCCCGATATTTTCTTCTAAGAGTTTTACGATTTTAGTTCTTATATTTCGGTCATTGACCCATTTTGAATTAATTTTTGTATATAGTGTGAAGTTTGGTCTGACTTCATTCTTTTGCATGCAGAAATCCAGCTGTCCCAGCACCATTTGAATGGGCTTGGCACCCTTGTTGAAAATAAATTGACCGTAAATGTATGGGTTTATTTCTGGACTGTCAATTCTACTCCATTGGTCTATATGTCTATCCTTATACCAGTACCACACTGTTTTGGTTACTGTAGCTACCTTCTAAAATCAAGAAGTGAGAGTCTTCCTATTTTATTCTTCTTTTTCAAGATTGCTTTGGCTATTTGTGGCCTCTTTCAAGAGAAATATCTTTGTTAATGATAAGGAATGATAAATTCATGAATCAGACCAATATATGGGATATACTTGTGTATTTACCATGTACTTTGTTTTAGTTGGAAACCCTGGTAGTGTAGTGGTTAAATGCTACAGCTGCTGACCAAAAGGTCAGCATGTTCGAATCCACCAGGCGCTCCTTAGAAACTCTATGGTCAGTTCTACTTTGTTCTATAGGGTCACTATGAGTCAGAATTGACTCAACATCAATGGGTTTGGTTTGGTTTTTGGTTTAGTTTTAGTTCTTGCTGACTGCTTCATAATGTAACATGTTTATTATCATTAAAATCATAATGTTCAAATAACTCCTGATATTGTTCTAATGTTGTTAGAGTTTAAATGTAGATCATGGAAAAATCCTTTCTGTTATGTCTTAACTCAATGATCTGATATCTGTGAATGCTGAGGGTGTTTTACAAGGAATTTTCCATGAAACTTTTGAAAGTTCTCCTGATGAATTGAAGCAGAGAGTTAATTGAATATATTCAACCATTGCAAAGATTTGTATGTGAAAAAGCATTATTCTATGTAGTTATAAGTTCAAAATTGATTTAATTAAGCACTTTGGTAGCATATCTGTAGAGAAAGAGGAAAAAAAAATTTTTGATTTTCTAAAGCTTGCATTTGTCAATGACAAAGATTTATCTTTCTGGTAATTTGAATTTGAACACTTTTATAAAATCTTTTTCTTAACTAGCTGCATAAGAACTTTTGTATCATATAAGTACACTGGTAAATTCATGGCAAATCACTGAATAGCCTTCTTCTTTCAATTTCTTACCATATCACAGTGAAAGATTGCAGTTCCCATCATTAATATAGACTGCAGTGCCAAATTTCTGAATCTAGCTTCACTGAGATGATTCTTTTAATTCCACTACTAAAATGTGCTCGGAAGTTTGTGAATAAAGATAGTTTGTTAAGGTTAAAGTCTAAATCTGCCATACCTGTCGCTGTCTTAGCAAAATTGTTTCCATTTTTAAGAGGCTATGATTTACCACTTAAGATTTCAAGAAGAAACTTGGTATGAATATGTAAATATTCCTTCCACGCCATTTCAGAGATCTGAGCTTTATTGTCCATTACTTACAATGTGAGGCATTTATGTCCATCAGAGCTGCTGAAGATTTACTGTTACGAATTCGGAAGAATTACCAGAAGCCACAGGAAGAGTTGAAGGTATTAAAAGAAGCAGCCAGCAGCCTCCTTGCCAAACACCGCCGTGAACTGCAGGAGGCAGAAGACCTAGTTCGTGAAGCAGATACAAAGACCCAGGAGAGCAGCCGCCTGCTGCTCATTATCAACACCAACCTGAGAGAATTCCAGGTGAGTCTCAAGCTGCTCTTGCCTTCTTAATCAGAGCTGGTGGCCATATTCTCCAGTGTAAATTATACCATTGTCAATGCCTTCAAATGTGGGACCCCCGACCACCTGGAGTAAAGGAGAACGAAGAACACCAAAGACACAAGGAAAGTATTAGACCAAGAGACAGAAGGGGCCACGTAAACCAGAGACTTCAAGACCACAAGAACTAGATGGGCTACCACCAATGACCACCCCGACAGGGAACACAACAGAGAGTCCCTGATGGAGCAGGAGAAAGGTGGGGTGCAGAACTCAAATTCTAGTAAAAAGACCAGACTTAATGGTCTGACTGAGACTGGAGGAACCCTGGAGAGCATGGCCCCCGAACTCTCTTGTCAACCCAGAACTAAAACAATTCCTGAGGCCAACTCTTCAGACAAAGATTGGACTGGACTGTGAGACGTAAAATGAGACTCATGAGGAGTGTGCTTCTTAGCTCAAGTAGATACATGAGACCAAATGGGCAGCTTCTGTCCAGAGGTGAGATGAGAAGGCAGAGAGGGTCAGGAGCTGGTTGAATGGACACGGGAAATCCAGGGTGGAAAGGAGGAGTGTGCTGTCACAGTATAGGGGTGCAATTAAGGTCACATAACAATGTATGTATAAATTTCTGTATGAGAAACTAACTTGACATGTAAACTTCCACTTAAACTACAACAATTTTAAAAAAAAAAGTGGGCCCCCGAGTGTCAACTTCAGTACAAAGAGTTAGGCACCAGCGTTCGGAAGCTGACTTGCTTTTTTGGAGCATCCTTAACAGGTGATTTCTGCTGCAGGATAAAAAGCTGCGTATTCAAAAAGAACAAAACTTGACCTCAAAGCTAATTGCCAAAGGGAGAGGATGGAGAGATGCTTCCGCTGTACATGCAGACGCTGCCCAAAATGCTCTAACTGTAAGTTACACCTTGGCATGGCTTTAATACAGTGTTGAAAGGATCTTCATACACCTCACATATGTGCACACGTGTACATTATTAGGAGTCTGTGGGTGGTGCAACTAGTCAGCATGCTGAGCTGATAACCGAAAGTTTAGAGATTCTAGTCTGCCCAAGTCTGGCAATCGACTTCCAAAAAATCAACCATTGGGAACCCCATGGAGCACAGTTCTACTCTGATACACACGGGGTCACAATGAGTCTGAATCCACTTGACAGCAACTGGTTCACTGGTACACCATTAAGTAGATGCAGGTATTTAAAATATTGATTTCTCTGTGTAGCAGTTAGAACATCACCGGGACAAGCTACTTCTATGGAATGCCAAACTCAGGAGCCACGTAGATGAGCTGGTCATGCAGATGTCCAGGAGAAGAGCGCTTGACCGTGTCTACAGAGCTGAGGATCATGCCACTGAGCTCAAAAGACTGTCAAGTGTTCTGGACAGGTAAGACCACACCTTTCCAGGAACTGGAGAGGTCGTGATCCATTGATCAAAGAGAATAAGAATGGCTATTTCGTTTACAACGTGGAGTCACTCTTCTTCCTTTGCACACACATGAGGACTCCCACGTATTTTACATGTCAAGTAAGATTTCCTTCCATGTCTGCTAGCATAGTTTACTGAATAACATCAGAATAAATGTATGATGAAAAAAATGCAAACTGAAATGGATAGAAATTAAAATGAGCATGATGCTGTAATGTCAAGCCCTCGAGGCTTTGTTAAGCACCTACTAGGTGTACTAGGTGGTCAGTGGAAACCCTGGTGGTGTAGTGGTTAAGAGTTGGGCTGCTAACCAAAAGATCAGTAGTTTGAATCCACCAGGTGCTCCTTGGAAACCCCATGGGGCAGTTCTGCTCTGTCCTATAGGGTCGTCGGAATCGATTTGACGGCAGTGGGTTTGGTTTTTTTTGGGGTTAGGTGGCCAGTGCTTTGATAGGTTGCATGTGTCAGAACAAGGGTATTAATTTTTTTACACGTCTTCCTTTTTTGGAGCTTGTGATTTGGGTGGCTTTATGCATGGATGGAAGGGAACCCTGGTAGTGCAAACAGTTAAGCTCTCGGCTGCTAACAAAGGTTGGCAGTTCGAACACACCTAGCGCCTCCACAGGCGAACGACCTGGTGATCTGTTTCTGTAAAGATTACAGCCTAGGAAACCCTATGAGGCAGTTCTCCTCTGTCACATGGGGTTGCTATGAGTCAGAATAGACTCGTTAGCACCTAACAACAACCTGCGTGATGGAAGATGTGGAATAGAAGCATTGAAGGTCTCTCTCCTAACCCCTGAAAAGAGTCCACTCCCCATTATTTTCTGCTGCCTGAAGGTCTACCATTGTAATACAATTATTTTAGCTTATATCTTTGGATATTTGTCAAATATGTCTTCAATATGTTAAAAATGCCTTTAAACAAGAAGCATACTTCTCGTTCAAGAAGTACTGACGCCTTTGTTCACTTGCCCTCTGCACCCCCCCAACACCCACCCCCTGCAATCTACCCAGGCTTTGAAATTGTTTAAAGCTCCCCAGGTGATTCTCATGTGTAGAAATGTGGTAACTGGTATTCTAGGTCTTGTCAGTGATTTATGCAATGTTGTGAGCTAACTGGTAAATTTATCTCATTAACACTTGTTGTAAATTATGAGTAGAAAAAACCTGGACACATGGAAACATGTATGTTTTGGTAGTGTGTGGGTGTGTTTTGTGGAAGGGGAAATAAATACCTTTCCAATTTGAGGAATGCTGGCAATAATCGATTAGATCATGCAATGAAAGCAATTAAAAGGATGTAAGATAGCCCTGGTGGCACAGTGGTTAAGCACTCGGCTGCTAACCAAAAGGTGGGTGGTTGAACCCCACCAAGTGCTCCATGGGAGAACCATGTGGCCGTTGGCTTCTGTAAAGATTACAGCTTTGCAAACCCTATGGGGGCAGTTCTACTCTGTCCTGTAGGGTTGCTATGAGTAGGAATGGACTCAACGGCTACAGGTTTTTGTTTTTGTTTTTGTTTTTGTTTTTGTTTTAACCTAGAGTACTGTGTAAATTACATGTTGAATTGAGTACCAAGGTCTACATATGCCACAGGAATCAGTAATAGAAAATGGAATTGGATGCTTAGTTAACTGCTTTCTTTTCATCTCCTCTCATCACTTCCTGAAAGAGAAAAATGTGTTCTGACTACCTACCTAGCTGGAATAAAATCTTTATTACTTAGTATAAGAGTAGTCAAAGCAATTTGATACCATGCACAAAGTTAAAGGACATCACTAGCTTTTACTTATAAATCACTGGGTTTTGCCAATCAAATAATAGCAAGCAGTAACTCCTCATGACAGGCTTGGGAATCACCCCGTTCAATAACCTTGGGAAGAAAGTGAGTTACTCAGGCAAAGATGTGTCCATTGTCAGAGCTCATTTTCAAGATAGAAAGAGCTGGCTGAAATTGCAGTTGACAGGTTCATCAGTGATTCGCCCATTTGTAGGAGTGAAGTTCATCTGATTGAAATATTATCTGATCGTCCTGCAAAATCTCTAGTGAATTTCATCAAATTGGTGTGTATCATTTGAGCGACAAGATTCGGCCTCCTAATATATGCTTAGAAAAGCTTTTTGAAAATTAACAAGTGCATTGCAGGGGAGACTGTAATCAATGCAAACTTGCCACAGCACCGCAGACCTAGGCAGAGGTTTGTGCAGAGACAAGGGCCAGGGAAGCTGATGGAAACAGATGAGTGACCAGAAAGATGGGAGACAGCAGCGGCCTCTTCTTCTGCCAGTACTAATTAAACAGCCATGTGAGTGTTATCACGCCAGTGTGGCTGGCTGCTGCTTCTCAGAGATTACTGTGAGTTAGAGGGGAATCCGTATGTTGTCAGTCCTTGTTGATACTTTTTTAAGGGGAAAACCAGGTGAGCGAACCTGGAGGTGTTATTTAGTTTATCATAACATCTCTAATTATGCTGATTTGATAGTGGCCTTGAAAATGTCAGACACGTGTCCCTGAATGCGACCAGTGCGGTCCATGTCCATTCGAGCATTCAAGGTCTGATGGAGGAATCAGGGAGACTGGCAAACCACGCTGTCAGGGCGGCGGCTGAGGCGAGCCTGGTAAGAAGTGCCTCTGGGCTGTCCTGTGTGCGTGGCTTCTCTGGGACTCTCTGGGGAGGTTTCTGTAAAATGCTGGGGCAAAATGCCACCTGACATTCTTTTTCTTGTGGCATCTGTTTATGGCGTCTATCCTCATATGTAAGTTTGAATTTCTTAATCATACTTTTTTATAAAGACCAGGGACTGACAAGTGATGTAGCGATGAGGAAAATTGCACAATTTCTTATGATAAAAATGAGAAAGCTCCTTGATATCTACTTGAGACATCTTTCTGTACCTGTGGTGAGATCTTTGTTTAATGTCTGGTTTCCTTCTTTGTATACCTAGCAATCTTTGGGTTCTCTCTCCTCAGCCGCTTGAAATTGCCCCTACCTGTTGTCCCGCTTCTGTTCTTGTTGGAACTTGACTGGAGGCTATTCTGAGAAAGTGGCCTTCCTGGTCTCCAGCGGGCTGCCACTTGCCCTCCAGTAACTATGTACAAGTTGTTCTGTTTTTCAGTTCTCAGAATCCCTTGCTTCAAATGGGAAAGCGGCTCTCCATCGCAGTTCCAAATTTCTAAGAGAAGGCAACGGGCTGAGTCGGAGGCCTCAAGGTCAGTGTGCTGGAATGGACCGTACTGATGAGCAGAGTGAATATGGGCACATCCCTGAGCAGCCTGTTAGAATGTTCTCCTGTCCTCTGCACAGTTTTCAGCTTAACATTCTGTTGTCACATTAATAGTCCAAACCTATCCTATAAACAAGGAGTCCTGATGGTGCAGTGGTTAAGTGCTCAGCTGCTAACCGAAAGGTTGGCTATTCAAGCCTACCAGGTATACCATGGGAGAAGGATGTGGCAGTCTGCTTCCATAAAGATTATAGCCTTGAAAACTCTATGGGGGCAGTTCTACTCTGTCCTACAGGGTCACTGTGAGTTGGAATCAACAACAATGGGTTTTTGTTTTTACCGTACGAACACCATGTAATTTTAAATTGTATTCAAGTTTACGTCTCTTATTTTAATGTGAAGTCACCTCTATCTTCCCCAGGCCCTTTAAGCTTCCCTTATAATTAAATTTGACACTCACTGCTTTAGCTCGTGAGCTTTCATTGTTCTTCACAGTGTTTGCTGGGTTAGGTCATCTCTGACTGCGTGTGGTCTTCTGTTCGACTCTCATGGCTTCACAATTCCTTGAAGGAATATGTTATGGGTGGTATTTCTTTTACCTTTCTCCCAGAGCTAATATAAAGTTAGAGTCATGGCAGGCTTGCATAAGATAATTATTAAATTAAATCATTCTTGATGTATCAGTTTTTCAAATTGATTGCGTTTAGTTCTTCCTACGAATTTCAATAAGCAATTACTTGGCATATGTCAGTTATCTGAGAAACATGTAAACATACATAACATGGAAACAGAAGTCTGTTGTACAAGATACTTATAAAAGAAATTATGTAGGCATACAAATTTTCATATAGCCGATAGTGTGCTTTTCACGTAATTATATATTAAAATATCAAAAATATCAGTGTTTTTCCCATAGGAGTAAATAGCAGGCCATATGCAAAGCTCATGCCCCTTTCAGCTACCAGATCCTTCTCCAGCGGTCTGAACCAAGAGCTTGGACATGTCGTGCTTTTTGTTTCTCTAACTGACCCATTTAGAAATAATGTTGTCTTCTCACAGTATACAGAATGCACAGTGCTGACCATAAAGCATTAAACACAAACTCTAGCATCAATGTCGATGGGCTCGGGTTTCAATTTACACAACAATCAAAGATATTTTATAGACCACGAAATAATGAACTTTCTGGCATTTAAAGTTTTAGGCAGAACGCTGATGTTTATCAAGGATTTTATCAATGATGTATTTTTAAGCCATGGATTTGGAATCCAAATGTGATTCTTTCTTATAAACAGAAATTTAAAAAGTAAAAGCTCTGATCAAGCAGCTTTGTCAAGCTTGAAGGAGGCTGGGTTGAGTCGCTGTTGGGTGGTCAGAAGGGAACCGGGAGAAGCACAGGTCAGGGAAGCAGGCTGGAGACCGGGAGGTAGAGTCACAGCAGGGCCCACATCCGGGGCCTTCCAGCCTAGAGGAGAGCGGTCAGCAGGATTTCATGTGGACAGAAAGCGAATCTGTTTAACACCATGATTCACCCTTGAGCTCGGATTAAATTGGACATGAAATTCAAGAAGAAATATTAACGAGAAGGGCAACAAGCGAAGTAGAAAATGACCTGGAAAACTAAAAACCCACTCAATTTCTCGAATGGTAGAGCTAAACTATAGCCTGCTGGCAAAACTTTCACTCTGGGAGGTCTCTGTGGAAAACTGTGAATTCTGTAGATGGGATCAGGAATGATAAAGACAGCGATTGCCTGGGTGACTACTTAATAGGCTAACCTAACAGTGAGCACTTCCCCCCCTTAAACAGGTATTACATCGGAATTGAGTGGATTGAAAAGAACAGTAAACAAATTTCAAGAGAATGCTAATACAATTACCAGGCAGATCAATGAATCACTCCTCATACTTAGAGCAATCCCTGAAGGTAAGTGGAAAGGGATTTCTTGATTCAATTAACAGAGTCCTTACAAATGAGCATGATGAACTCCGGCCTCAGGACCAAGAGCCGTAGCTCTAAACAAGACTGAGATTGATAAAGCTTATGCTTGCGAAGAAGTCTGATTTGGAAGTTAAGATAGCTGTTTTTTTAAATAACCTCAGAACACCATTGAAATGCTAGAATTATACTCTTCAAAGCAAAAGCCTCAGAGCCTTTATGCTGCCACCTTAATTGCTTACTTCAAAAATAGACTTGGCCCATGACATAGATGAAAGAACGGCAGTTCACAGAGGTCGGCAAGAAGGTGCAATGCTCTTTACCTGCCGTAAGGGAAAATTCCGGATTCATTATCAGTGTGAGAATTTAAAAAAACTCTTGCTTGGTATTCTTCCTTCGTGAAGCAATAAAAATACTCTAAAATAGGCTCCTGGATCACTTTAATATTGATAGTTTGCAAATGCAGTATTAATTAAAATTTTAAGTAGGATAACTTTTAAAAGTTTAACACAAATGAGTTGTGCTCTGATACATTATTTACACTCCCTTAAACTTCTCTTTGTTCTTAATCAGCAGTTATTTTTTTTTAAAGTCTTACAGGATAGCCAGACTCAACTCCCAAGCCCTTTCATCTCCAGAGTTCCACGTGAGCACGGAAATGGCTGTGCGGAGCTGTGCTCTGGGCCACTTCTTGCCTTTCAATCAATGCAACATTTTCTGATCTGGCAGTTTTTTTTCTTTTTAAGGACAATATGGTATATATTGATTAAACAGTTAAAAATAACTTTTCATTCAGAAATAATTTCAGACTTGCAGAAAAGTTGCCAGAAGAGTACAAAGAACACGATATGCTCTTCTCTGAGATTCTTCTAGTGTTAATGCTTTGCCTTGTTTGTGACTAAATACTTGTAACATAAGTAATAGTGCCTTTTAAAAAAAAACATCCCTCTGGTTTTCTGGAATCTCTCCGAATCCCAGTTTTCCTCTGGTGACCGCTGAGTCTTTGTTCTGCTGTCCTGTCTGGCAGCTGGTGATGCTGTCGGCAAACACCACTTCCTCTAGCCTAGGGCACTGTCTTCTCACTGACGAATGTAAGTCCCCAAACCTTCTTATTCAGACGTGGAATTGTTTGGAGAAGGTGTTTAATGAAAATGAGAAGGAGGCGATTAAAAAAGAACCCAAATAAAGAAGCTTACGTTTGTCAGCATGAGAGACACTGAGCACGCGGCTATTAGCGGTTGCTTTGTGATCTCTCTGTGCATTGAAATCACGTTCCAGAGGATTGTTACAAAAAGCATCTCCTTTGTACCGAAAGGGAGCGGTAGAGCACGTGATCTGCAGCCTGAGTATTGCCATTAACACACAGCCCCGGTTTGTGTTCAGCACCCAATAAGAAATACTGAAGCGTGTGTCTCTGTAACATTCCGTGCGTTCCGGTTTCTCCCCATGTGTAATCACCAGAGTGTCTGCACGCGGATTAATTTATTTCAGGTGTCAGAGACAAAGAAACCAAGACCACCGAGCTGGCCGCCTCTGCCAACCAGAGCGCAGCAAGCACGCGGAGGGACGTCGTGGGTTTGAGCCGAAAGCTGCTGAATACATCAGCCGTCCTGTCCCGGGTGAACGCCACGTTACGAGAAGCAGCTGGACTCATGCGCGACTCCTCAGAGGCCAGTACGTCAGCCGTCTTCCTTCATGTCACCAACGTCTGGGCCAGGCAGATTCTGAGCGTGCAAAGGGCAAAATCACGGCGCCACACTGCGCACAAACAGCATTCCCACCAGAGTAAAAAGGCACTACCATCTGGATTTGCGTTTAGAGAGAAAGAGAAAGGTTTTGGGCAATGTATTTTTTATGTATGTTCCCAAATTTCAAGGATTTGCTTATCTAAGATGTTCTCTACCCAGTGCCTTGTGGATGAATTAGTAATGAATGAATGAATGTCCTTGGTCCTGCCCTCCTCACTGTTCCTTGTCACTGCTCACCTCCTTGTGTTTGTTAGCTCTGTTAGTTGGAAGAAAAGTGAAAGACGTGGAAATACAAGCCAACCTTTTATTTGACCGGTTGAAGCCTTTGAAGACATTGGAAGAGAACCTGAGTAGAAACCTATCAGAAATTAAACTGCTGATCAGCGAGGCGCGGAAACAAGCGGCTTCTGTGAGTGCGGGCTCCTGTCACAGCGGGCACTCCCCGAGGGACACAGGTGCTCCTCGCAACCCCCCGCGCCCTAGAATTCCTGCAGAAATGGCTCCCCCAACACTAGTCTCATACAACTCGCCCAGTCCCAGCTGTCAATGAGACCAGCTTCCTCATAGCCACCTCTTAGGTATATTCATCAATACACTTTATTCAACATGATTTTAGAAAAGAAATCTCCGTGTCTTTATGGAGATGTATAAATATTTATAACTGTCCAGTTACAGTTGCTGTCAAGTTGATACCAACTCTTGGCGACCCCGTGTGTGTGTCAGAGTAGAACTGTGCTCCATGGGGTTTTCAATGGCTGATTTGTTTGGAAGTAGATTGTCAGGCCTTTCTACCAAGGCGCCTCTGGGTGGACTCGAATCACCAACCTCTTGGTTGGCAGCACAGGGTGCTTGCCGTTTGCACCACCCAGGGACTCCATTTATAACTAGAGTGTCGATTTATAGATTATAATTATTAACCTAGATGGTGTAGAACATATTAAGTCTGAGTGTTATTTATCACACCAAGTTTCATTGGTCGCATATAGTGTCAACTGCATCCTTTTACCAGTTAGCTTCAGAAATCCAAGTACTTTTCAGAATGTTCGTGCAGTATGGGCCTTGTCCCCTGGGAGTTTCCAGTCTGAGAAACCAGTATGTACATGCAGAGATGCTGTACAAATGTGCCACCGTCTGCAAGCACACGGATGGTACAAGCTTGAGTAAGCGTCCGTAGCCCTCCGGGGCCCACAGCGCCGGCTGTGCTCTAAAGGAGAGACGTTTCCCTGTAGAGAGAACATGTGGCCGTCATGCCATTGGGAACCTCATAGGGGATAACCGTGACCTCTGGTCTTGCATTTATCCCCCTGAAGCTTTCTAGCCAGGAGAAAGGAGTTCTGGGCTCTTTGTTTTCCCTCGAGTGACCTTTCTGTTGGAAAAGGCCTGTAGGTTTACCTGAGCTTTGGCTTCTATCTTAGTTACAGTCACTAAATAAATGCAAGTCCAAGGGATGGTTCCAATGCTATGGTGGATACATCTTATAATCTTTAAGGTTAATATAAGATATACATACAAATAACTGCAGATTACAGAAATATGCAGTAAGTGTAATAAGCACGCTGTAAATATTTGCTAAATAAATAAATTCTTTACTCCTCCATTTATTCACCATATATCATTGATTATCGTCTCTGTGCTGGCTGTAAGGATTCCAGGTGATCTGGATAGGGTCCTTGTCTTTAAGGAATTAAAATCATGTAACCACAATCATTTCCTATATAAAATACTCAAAAAGCCCAACACCAGTGTTCCTCTATTTCAACACTTTACAAAATAAAATAGTTTTCCCTGTTCCCTGATTTCTCGCTTCTGGGGACCCAAAGCTGCACGTACCGTCAAGGTGGGAAGGCTTTGGAGCAGTGAGTAGCAGTCCCAGATAACAACACTCTGAGCTCTTGGCAAGCAGCCGGTGCTTGCCGGAAGTCATTGGGATGCTTTCCTCTTGCTCTGCAGATTAAAGTTGCTGTGTCTGCAGACAGAGATTGCGTCCGGGCCTACCAGCCGCAGATTTCTTCCACCAACTACAACACCTTGACGCTGAACGTTAAGACGGGCGAACCCGACAACCTCCTGTTCTACCTGGGGAGCAGCACCAGTGTAAGTTACAGACCCGCGGAAAGCAGTGCTTTTCTTGTGAACGTGTATATTTTCCGAATTGACATTTTTCTATGGAAAAAACAAAACAAAACAGGGCCTTGGGGAAATCACTGATTATTCTCAGGGAACTGGTAGCAGCGTTAGATTAAAAATCAACAAAGGAAAACTTAAATCCCTGTGAGGAGGAAGATGGCGCTTCTGCAAGGCTCATCTCCTTGCCGTCTTAATCACAAGCCTTGAGGACAAAGTTCTGCATGATGCCTTCCGTGACCCTGAAGGGACTGGTTTAGCTTTGGGTCTGCAGGGCCGGTCTGGGGGGCTGTCAGCAGGGGCGGGGAGGCACGCACCCTAGTGCGACGTAGGGACTTTGAGGCTTCACCCAGGCTCTTCCGCCAACTAGATTCCGGTGGGTTCCCAAAGGGAGTGCCAACGGTGCATGGAAGACCATCGTGCCAGCAGGAATGGGCCAGAACCCTTGGGTGTGTTAGGACAGAAATGTTAGGGGGCCGTATGTCACCTGCAGTGGCTTCTTAGGAGATCATGTGCAAAACGCACTCAGCTTCTGATGTGGGCCGCTCCTGTTTTCGTGCGTCTGGCATTAAATGGTTGTCGCCTCAGTAAATGACTGGGAAACGAACGAGTGCAAAGCCTGGACTGGTGCTCTCTGTGGACGCGCAGGAGGTGTTACCGGGGAGCGGTGATGGGGGGACGTCGGGGAGGGCCACGTGGGCGAGGGCCGTGGGGCCAGAGTGTTCACCCATGGCTGCCATTGCATCGGCTCTGAGTCGTGATCCAGCTCCAAGAAGGGGAGCCTTTACAGAAAAGGAAGATGGTTTTTTGCTTTTTTAATTTTGGAGAGAATGCTGTATGCGCTCGTTCTTTAGCGCTTTGGTAGTCCAGCAAACAGGCCAGTGTGTAAACTCACCCCTGCCTCGATGTGCCACCTGCAGGAGGATTTCCTGGCCGTGGAGATGCGGCATGGAAAGGTGGCCTTCTTGTGGGATGTGGGCTCCGGGGCCACACGATTGGAATTTTCAGACTTCGCAATTGATGACAACAAATGGCATAGTATCTATGTAACCAGGTAAGAGAGAAGGGTATCTCCTAGCATCTCTCTTTTTTAAACTGTGTTTGCCTAATATTTTATAAGTAACTACATGCTTGTAACATCATATAATAGACTTTGAAACTTCTAGGAAGTCAGGTTATAATCAAAGAATACTTGATTTAAATTAATTATAGAAATAAGGATTTTTTCCCCCTTATTACAGAGAAAATAAACTTTGTCACCCCAAATCAACAAACCAAAAAAGGTAAAAAACTGTAAGTTTGGGTTACCTTGAGAATGGTGGGAGTAAGTCAGAGGCAGCCAGTCCAGTCAAGTGTTAGCAGGTGTGTGAAACACAGCAAGGTAGACAGTTTTCCATGGGGTTGGCACTGGTACACAAGTGCCAGAGGACAGAAGAAAGGGATACAAGTGGGAAATGCATTTTCTTAAAATTCAGCACAAAGCAAAATTCTTCCTTACAGCTACCTACTTTTAGCAGCTTGAACTGTGTCTTCCTTTTCACTTCTCTGTGGCGTTATAATCTGTTGTTGTTGTTGGAACTTGTGTTTTGCTTTGCTTTTCCCAAAAATGGGGTAATATTGAAGTTAATAGAATCCTTGGGTGGTGCCAACATTTAAGGTGCTCAGCTGCTAACCAAGAATTGGCAGTTCGAGTCCATCCAAAGGCACCTCAGAAGAAAGGCCTGGCATATCTCAGCCATTGAAACCCCTTTGGAGCACATTTCTACTCTAACACACATGGGGTCGCCATGAGTTGGAATTGACTCAACAGCACCTGGTTTATTGAAGACCTAGGCTGCCTCCAAATATAGTTAACTCATTCTCTGTAACTGTTCTAAGCAGGAGGAGAACAGGATGAGATATATGTTTTAGAAGAACTACTCTACAAGATTATGGGAAGTAAGCTGGGGAGTGAACGGGTGGGCCAGACCAGAAGCCAGAGACCGGCCAGTTGGGAAGCTGTTGCTGTGGACATGGAGAGAAGCAGCGGGGGGCTGTGTATGAAACAGATCTGTAAAATTTCTGGTGTTGACTTCAAATTTTGAAAGTGTTACTTTAGCAATGCTTTGTGATATGTAGATTTGGAAATACTGGTTTGCTGAGTATAAAGGAAATGAGCTCAACTCAAAAGCCACCAACCAAAACAAGTAAATCCCCTGGAACAGCTAATGTTCTGGATATCAACAATTCCACATTAATGTTTGTTGGAGGACTTGGAGGACAAATCAAGGTAAAATCCTAAAGCTCGCTGAACAGGACTAATTGACTGATTTCACATATACATGACATTAATATGTTTAAATTCTTGACTATATCCTAGACAGATGAAGATTTTTCTGCTTCTATTATTTTGCTTAATTATTGTTCATCTGCAGGGTTGGGTTGGTTTTGAAGGGCAAAGATCATGCTTAAGGGGAGTCTATAAATTGAGAAGAAGCCAATGGTTCATTTTCCAGTGATGAAACAGGAAATTCAATATTCCATATTAATTTCTGTAAAGTTCCGTTATCTCTAGTGGTAGCCTAATACTAATTTGTGCTTATGAAACAGCCAGGTGTATTTATTTCCTTGACTTGGTTCTGCACTCTGAAATGAGGGCAAGGGTCTCAGTCCTAGCAGGACCTCTCACTACTGGCCACGTTCTCTGGGTCTCTATTCCTTGGCTGGTAAAGGGAGCTTCACTGCAGGGACACTAAGCACTGAGATGATCTTTAAGATCCCACCCAGTTGTCACTCATGGTAGGATCCTGCCTTAAAACTGAAAGGAAATCCAGTGATCACAACTGGCCATTTTTCCCAATATTGTTTTCTCAGAATTTGAATCTGTTAGACTTGAGCCCCCAGGAGGAGTTTCACGTGCTCAGAGAACGCATTTCTCACCACCCAGTATTCCTCGGTGATGTGTGGTTTTTTTGTTTACATTAGAAGTCTCCTGCTGTGAAGGTTACGCACTTCAAAGGCTGCATGGGAGAGGCCATCTTGAATGGAAACTCCATTGGCCTGTGGAACTATGTTGACAGGGAGGGCACGTGCCATGGCTGTTTTGGAAGGTAACCTTTGCCTGCTGTTCAACACGCAGCGTGCTCTTCTGTTAAAATCTGAGAACTGCTTAAAGAATTGACATACACATCAAAAGGACTGGTAAAGTTTGTGACGCTGGTCATCTAATTGCAAGAGATATGACACAGATTATTTACTAACAGAAGCATGGGGATAATTTTTAACGTTTAAGGAGAAATGTTCTTTTTGCTGTCTCTTGTATGATTTGATCAGGAATCATAAATTCTAAACGTTTCAGATATCTTCTCCAACAACCTTCTCTCAAAACATCACAATTAAGCCCTCTTGGGTAAATCACTGCACGTTTTTATTTTGAAAATACTTCCAAGGATGAGACTTTTTTTCCTTATTCCTCTTTGAATATGTTAATACATTGCTTTACTGGTGTTGGCATATTTTTATCATTATGAACAATCTCTTAAATTCATAAAGGACATTATAAAGTTAACCACCGATTCTAACAGCTGTCACCTGGATATGGAAAACACATTTTTATTTAATGAACGCACAGTCCTTGTTTAGAAGTGGCTGTGCGAGAAGGTGCTGACCATGCAGCTGACATTTGTGACAGTCCTCTTACTGAAACCCTGTGGTGTTCCAGGCCCTGTGCTAGGGACTGATGAGGTCAAAACTAGTAAGACGTCTTTGCTGCTCAGATATCTCATAGTCTAGGGAAAACTACGTATATGAAAACATAAAAAAGTGCTTTGCCCTGTGGCAAGTGGGACGACAGTAGCGGGAGCAGCAGCCTGGGACTGGGGCTCCGGCACTGCCTGGCTCACTTGCATAACAGCTGCGCGGCAAGCTAACAGGGAGGTACGAGGATGACCTGATCTTATGAATGAGATCTTTGAAGGCCGGAGAAGTCTAGTGGTTTTTCCAGGCTCATGGGGCTGGAGAGCTGGGAGGGTGGATTTCAGCCCAGCCCTGTCTGACTCCAGAGATCGCGCGACTCCCCCGCTGGCTTATGGTGCTTTCGGAAGGACTAGGACACAGACCGACATCAAGTGTTGTGAGGGAGCAGTTTTCCTGTTGTCCTTTACCTCTGACATAGGCAGGGTCCCCTGGCTGACTGCAGAGGCATATGCACTTCGTGAGCACAGGACAGCGTGCAGTGGCTCCGGGAGAAGCTGGGCCAAGTGACCAGTGTCAGGACCTGCTCAGAAACGGGCCCTTGTCCCCAGGGGCAGTGAGCCTTCCAGGAGAATCCTTGTCAGTCACCCTACATTTGAATGCGTCACTCTTCACGGCCACGCCCCGGGGCAGCATGACCCCTCCCCCAGGCAGCAGGGCCACGCCCTCGGGCAGCAGGGCCACGCCCCCGGGCAGCAGGGCCACGCCCCCGGGCAACAGGGCCACTCCCCCGGGCAGCAGGGCCACGCCCACGGGCAGCACGGCCACGCCCTCGATCAGGCCTTCTTAAAGGACAGAAGGCAGAGAGAGCCAAAGACCCCAGGACCTAGACAGCGGGACATCAGGAGCTCTGCTCAAAGGAGGTGATGTGCAGGGTGGGACAAGCACAGATTTCTGGAGTTTTGTCTGAAACTTAGCTTCACCATTTCTTCGGCTGTGTCCTTGGGCAAAGTACTTATTTTTGAGGCTCCGTTTTCTAATAGCCAAAGTGACGATAGTAACACCTATTTCGTAGGGTGGTTGTGAAGACTAGAGAGACCATAAACCAGAGTGACCGGCATAGCACATAGTAACCCCTCGAACAGTGGTAAGCACTGTGCACACCCAAAGACTTGCCTCTGGACAAATACACACTCACAACCGGACTTCACGCTCTTTCTCCAACCACCCACTGTCCTCCCAGAGAGGAGCTCTGAATATAGCAGCATCATAAGGGCTGAAATCGAGTGGGAGTTTCCCATGTTCCAGGCACTGTTATAAGTGCTTTACATATATGAAGTCATTTATAGTCCCCCGGACAAAGACTCGTATCTCTATAGATAGGAAGCAAAGAGAGGTTAGTTAACTTTTCCAAGCTCACACAGCTAATAATTGTGGAAATGGGCTTTGAACCCCAGCAGTCTGGGTCTGTATAGTCTGCGTCCTTAGCCACATGCAACTGGGGTCAGCCAGGAGGTAGCACAATGGAATACACTTCTAGGAAACCACAGGTTTAAGAATGAAGAGTTAAATCATAGTTCCCAAATGTAGGCAGAGTGCATTTCCTTTAGTTATACTCCTTAAAAGAGAAGAAGCAGAACTGCATTTGAAACCTCAGTTTTCACAACGCTTTGCTATTTTTTTGTTTGTTTCAGGTTTTTTGTTAATGGAAATGATTTCACTGTTTGACTCTTCTGATGTGCTTTGAAACGTGATACTGAGTTTGGTTGTTACATCTTCTACTGGGAAGAGTTCAAATTCATACCCACAAGCACCCAAATCCAAGTTTCACTTTCAAATTCTGTCATATTCTAGAAAAGCATTTTGGAAACATAATTATGATAGTTCCAGATTAACTCACTTTATAACTGAATAGTGAATCAAGTCAACCTTTGGAGGTAGATGGGGAAAAGGCCAGAAAAGACTTACCTGAAAGGTGCTATAGGACATTTTATGTAACTCTGTTGCAAGCCACACATTTTGTTTCAAAATGTGATCCAGGTCTTTAAACCCATCCTGTAGATTTTTGAGGATGTCAATGACTTTTTATAAAATGAACCTTCTGGTACTTTGACGCATATTTGTTTTCCGTTGTAACTCCAGCCTAACTGATATCTGAGTTAGTACCAGCAGAGGGAGGTATGTGATCATGTAAAAAATATTCCGAAAGTCCTGGAATCAAGCAGAGTTATCCTACAGGAAATGAGAAGAAAGACACAAACAGGAAAACGTGTTGCTAAGTAGAAATATCTGTAGCAGTTATCCATCCTGTGAAGAAGTTTGTTTTTACTAAGTGAACACTGCCTATATCAACTTTCTTTTCCTTTTAAAACGGTTGGGCACTAACCCTAATCTCATTTTTAAATATTTGCAGTTTACTTTTGTAATTGTATTACGGAAATAATAGCTCCGTCAGGATTTGTGTGGGGGGTCTCATTTGCTCTCTTTAGCCGCCTTCCTGAGAGTAGATTGCGTTTCTCTTGCTCTGCTCTGCAGTCCCCTGAATGAAGACTCCTCGTTCCATTTTGACGGGAGCGGGTATTCCGTCATGGAAAAGACCCTCCGGGCGACAGTGACGCAGATAATCATGCTCTTTAGTACCTTTTCACCGAATGGGCTGCTTCTCTACCTCGCTTCAAATGGCACCGTAAGAGTCTTTATGGGGCACTAGGCCCGACTGTGTACCTACATTTAGATGGCTGTGTGGACACTTATGTTCAATGATTGCTTCATGAGTGTATACTAGCATGCTGTATATATACATATATGTATGCTATATTATTTCCCCCATTTTAAATAATTTATTATATTAATATCAGTTCATTGAAGACTTTGTAAAATACAGAACACAAAGTAGAAAATAACCTTTGAGTCATTACCAATATCAATTAAACATCCGTTATTAGATTTTGAGTTTAAATAGTGTAAGTTTTTCTATGTTCCCTCTGACCACAGAGGCTTTATTTGAATTCCATCTGACAGGATTTTTTGTTCCTATTTATCTCGTGTTCACTATGAGTCAGAATCGACTCGACAGCAGTGGGTTTGGTTCTGGTATTTCGTCTTACTATGGGTTCTCAATGCTGGTGATTTCCGTCTCTCAATCTTTTTAGTTTTCTTATTTTGGGGACTGGCCCACTTGTCCTTCTAAATGAAAGACACACAAAGACATTCCAGTTCTCTTACTGAATTGTAGATTTTGGCAACAATGAATAGTGTTTCATTTGTATACTTGGAATGTTCTAGAAAGCCTTCGTGAACGTTTTTAGTTTTGTAGCCTAGACTTCTGGCTGTTGGGCTGGGTCTGGTTTCCGCAGTTTGACTTTAAAAGGCGTCTGCCATCCTTACCTTGAAGAGAAGGGAAATCTTGTGATAAAGATGTAGCCATGGGTAACTATTTTCTCATCTTTACAGAAAGACTTTTTATCCATCGAGCTGGTCCAGGGCAGAGTTAAAGTCACAGTTGACCTGGGTTCAGGACCTCTTGCTCTGATTACAGACAGACGTTATAACAACGGGACCTGGTACAAAATCGCCTTCCAGAGAAACCGAAGGCAAGGTGAGTGCATAGATGGATAACTGTGATGTTAGCCTCCCTACTAGAAAGAGAAATCTTTCTAAAGTTAGCAGTCTCTAGTCTACTTTCATTTCCTGAGCGATACTCTAATTAAAATTAAAGCTGTTGTTGTCTTTGGGATACCAAGCAACAGAATTCATGTTTTGCTGGAGGAAGATTACAGTTCTACTTGTGTATATTTCCGAGTGCTTTATTTAACTACAAAAGCCCAATTGGAATCAAGAATCAAATCCACTCCGTTTTCATCTACACACATACTGCTGTCATCTAGCACTGTGTCTTCTGGATTTATTGACTTTTCTATAGAGAATTACATTTTTCCTTTGATAGTCAAGAGCATTAAGTGGTCAAATTTGCAGAATCTCAAATAATAGGTCTTTGTAAATGAACTTTACTTGACAGACTTGCTTTAGAAAGGGCATAAGGTTGAGTTTCATTTTAATGTAGAAGGTGATTTTCATTTTCTTATCTATTCCCTTCTATCTCGTTTTAGGACTCCTAGCAGTTATTGATGCCTATAACACCAGTGATAAAGAAACCAAACAAGGCGAAGCTCCAGGGGCATCTTCCGACCTCAATCGCCTAGATAAGGATCCCATTTATGTTGGTGGATTACCTAGGTCAAGAGTTGTAAGGTATGATATTCAACTGCAGAAAATGTGTCCCTAATTACCAGCTTTTATTCAAACTACTATATGCCATATAAATTGGGCAATAAAGCAAGCCTTCTGTAGTCAAGCTAATGATTGTATGTTTATTGCCTTTTAGAACATGTGTCAATAGAAATTGTTACTGAGCAACATTTGGAGACCCCACCTTCTATCACACATCACCCTTCTCTCTTACACATTTTAGAGTGGTAGAGTCTCTTTAAAGGCAAAACAAATTCATGCTTTCTGCAGACTTACCTGGATTCCCCCTTCACAGGATTAGAGTGAATAATGTATGTGAGAGTTGAAAGACCAGCTTTAGGAAGCTCCAGGAAAGAAGGCAGAGAGGAGAGGCAATGGAATCCTTTTATAACAGTGATTTGTGTTAGCTTTGTGACTTTAATAATTGACATAAACTTTCTGTACCCCATCGTCCTCAATTTTGTAATTTTGGATTAGACGAATTAAGCTCTAAAGTTCTTTCTTCAAAAAAAAAAAAAAAAGGTCGTAAGTGAAAGACTAGTTATCCAGGCCATTTTTTGTCAAGCAGAAAGCTTCCAAGGAGTGGGATCATCAAATGTCCAAGCTGGATCCCTCAGCTCAGCGGTTTTCAAGTGTGTATGTGTAGCAGAACCCAATGTTCAAAATGAGTTTCTATGCAGAATCCTAACATGAGGCACTCAAGTGCAGCCACTGCAGCTGCTATGGATTAAATACCCCAAGATGCAACACTTGCCCCTTTTTCTTTGCCAGCAATATCTGGAAGTTCCAAGGACCACAGTGTATAACCATAGATTTAGTCTCCCCCAGTCTTGGAAATGAATAAATTTAAGCTTCAGGGGAGCTGGTCACTTGCCCCAGGTCCTGCCCTTCTATCAAGACAGAGCCAGGACTAGAATCCTGTCTCCTAACTCTAATCTTAGATCATTCTCTATGGTGGGATCAGAGTGTTTTTTCTGTAGCCACAAGCTGTTCATTTATACTTGGCCTAATGGCACTCAGTTGGACATTGGAGAAAAGGACAGAAAGCCCTTTTCTAGGAAGAATTCCAGAATCACAGACTTTCATGCCAGAAGGGACTTGGATAAGTCAGAGCCAACCTTCTCATTTGCAATGGAAAAAACTGAGATCCAGAAAGGTTGGAGTTTGCCCCAAATCGTATGTGCTTGATGGCTCACAGCTCATTGCTCAGCACAGAAAAGAATGAGGGGTGACTCCAACAGGAAACCAGTAGACTTCACCAAATGCAGTTGCTTCATTCAGGGCAAAGTTTATAAATATGTCGTATGGACAACAGCCAATGACTTCTCTACACGTCCAATCCTAGGAAAACACACAGCCTACTTTTACTCCGGGAACTGAATTTTGATCTATGTGCTATAATTTCCTTATGACAACTCACTGCCTTTCTTATAATTGGCCTGTGTTTTAATAAGTATATTTAAATTGCAATGACTGTGAAATTTTCCCTCTTATAATATTAAACATATTTTTGTGTATATGAGCATCTAAGTACCCAAACTTACTAAATCTAGTCCCTTTCTCTAGTCCTAACGAAACTATTCGTTTGACCTAAAGTTCTCACCATCAATGTTCGTCTTGGAGGCCTAGACATTTCTACAGAATGACACATGGAAACAGATCCTCCAAAATTACAGGTTCATTGTTAATCTTCCTTTCAAAAGTTGAGTTAAAAACTCCAGTTTTCTTCTTATTGTTCTCCTGTCCTTCCCCTCAGGAAAGGCCTCACCAGCAGAAGCTACGTGGGCTGTATCAAAAACCTGGAAATATCTAGATCGACCTTTGATTTACTCAGAAATTCCTATGGAGTGAGAAAAGGCTGTACACTGGAGGTATGAAGCCTCTTATTAATAGTGGAATGAGTTCCTATGAATGCCCATTGATTTATCAGCTTAATAACAAGCAAAGAAGAAACGAGCGTGGTAGAGAAAAACGAGAAGATGGGTAAAACAGACAGTAACCCATTATGGGAGACTAAACACCCACGGGGACCTAATAGGGGCATTTTATCTCCTTTGTGACCAGCCTATCCGGAGTGTTAGCTTCTTGAGAGGCGGCTACGTTGAGTTGCCACCCAAGTCTTTGTCACCAGAGTCGGAATTGTTGGCAACATTTGCCACCAAGAACAGCAGTGGCCTCATCGTGGCTGGCCTTGGGGAGGACATGGAGAAGCAGAGCCCACGGCAGGCACGTGTGGTGAGTAGCTCAAGGGTTGGCCAGCTGCAGGCTCGGGGAGGAAAGGATTCCAGAAATGCCAGGGGGAAAGTTACTGAGTCATAGCATTTATGGCAGCTGTGTTGCCAGTTGTCTCTGGATGTGCATTTTTAATAAGTAAAAGTTACTGTTGCTGAACATCTTTCCGTGGTGAATCAGTGATCTCTTTGTGATGCATAATGCGTCTTCCTTGTCTAGATACTGAGAAGAAACGTGTTTGCTGTCTGCTCCTAATTTTTTTAAACTCATTTAGATAGCATTGCTGTGTTCTTCCACATGTTATGCCTGTTACTCTTTATCCTGAGGCGGAATCAGCACGTCGTTAGATTTGGCAGAGGTCTTTAGTGTACTGCTTCACTGAAGGAAGCTGGGTTTCCTTTATCTGTTATAGAAATGACAGGAGCAGGAAGAGAAATGAGGCCTTTGAGAAAAAGAGTGGACCAGCAGTAGGAAAGGAGAGAAAAGATGATGTTTTTCCCATATTTATATTGCGTTTCAGCAGCATCCCCAAACTTGCATGCTTCACGACAGTTCAGCGCACTCTACAGAATGCTAATACACTGTTATAATGAAGTACAGATCATGTAACCAACATCTGTAGAGTTCTGTCATCTACCGTGCAAGATACTTCCCAGACGTTATTTCCGTACAATTATTTTACTGAGGAAGAAACAGGGTCAGAGGGCCTGGTTCACTGACATAAGGTCACACAGCCATTATGGGTCAGATCTGGGTCCACCAGCCCCAAACACCTCAAGAGCCACTCGGTGAGAAGGGCTGACAATGACGAAGATTGGTTTGTGGACTCCACCAATCTTTGTTTTTGTTTCTTTTATTATTGAGGTGAAATTTACACAACATAAAACTAACCATCTTGGAGTGAACAGTTCAACCCCACTTTCTACATTCACAGTGTTGGGCAGCCACATACATTTTCATCGTCCAAACTAAAACTCTGTACCTGCTAATCAGCTAGTCTCCATTTCCTCTGCCCCCAGGTCCTGGCAGCCACCAATCTGGTTTCTGTCTCTATGGGTTTACCTGCTCTGGATATTTTATAAAACTGGAATCATGCAATATGTGACTTGTTGTATCTGGCTTCTTTTACTTAGCGTGTTTTCAAGGTTCATTCAGTTGGTTGCATGGATCAGGACTTCATTTTTCTTTATGACTAAATAAGATTCCATTGTATGTGTACACCGTATTTCGTTTATCCATTTGTCCATTGATGGGGCCACCTTTTGACTATTGAAAATAGCTTCTATGTTCATAATGTTTCTATAAACATTTTAGTACAAATATCTATTTGAATCTCTATTTTCATATCTTTTTGCTATGTAGACAGGAGTGGAGTTGCTGGGTCATAGGATAATTCTATATCCAACTTTTTGGGGAACTGCCAAACTGGTTTCATCTACCAGTCTCAATATAGTTACTTACAAATCAAAGTTTGCTACTAAGTCAGCAAAAAGGAGTTACACCAGCCAGTGCTGATGGCATCATAAATTGTTAGACTTCTTTTCAATGTGGCAACCACGTTTAGAAATGTTAGAAACAATTTTACAGGCAAAATAGGTTAAATGTTCATTACGTGTCATAGTAAAAAATTAGAAACAATCTAAATTTTCAGCAATTAAGACAGATAAATGAACTACGTGGTATCTACTTTGTTGGATCATACAGAGGCTTATCCAGGGTAATAGGGCCAGGGGCAACCTCTCAATTTGCACCTGGCCTCATGTGGCACCCCCTTGGCCTTATGCCCCGGGGCGAGTGCCTTCTGCTGACCTCCCCACACTACGCCTCTGGGAGCATGATGTAGCAAGCAATAATATATATGAAGGCTATGCAGAAATAGAAATCTTTGCTGTGTTCAGTGATGATAGCAGAATACAATTTATAAAAACAGATTAGAAAGTAGTATCCAAAACTTAAAATAGTTATGCTCGATGATGAGATTCTTAAGAAGTTGCTTACATGGTGTGAATATTCTCACATTATCTTTATATGATGATAATTTCTTAAATCATGTAGTAATGAATGTTCTATGGGAAATTCTCTATCATGAACCTTCCCAGCCCTTCTTTGCCGTCATGCTGATTGAAGGCCACGTTGAAGTGCATGTTAATTCTGGGGATGGAACAAGCTTGAGAAGAGTCCTCCTGCATTCTCCCACGGGCATTTACGGTGACGGACGAGAGCATTCCCTCTCCCTGGTTAGGAAAAGAAGGTACTGTCGGCACAGCCAGGCGTGGGGACATTCATGTGGTGCGGGGGCAGTTCCCTCATGAAAAGTTTCTCCGTAGGAACCTATGGACCTTCAACAGTGATGTAATTTGTATAATTGCTATGATATCTGCCACATTCAAAGTTTTCCATGAGCGTTCAAAGTTTCTATAGTTTCAAAATAATTCTAGAACCTTTCTAGAATACATCCTTGGAAATCAAGTTCATCTGTTTTTAATTTTTGTAGAATTTTCATAATTGAACCGCCTTAACCCTGCCTTTTTCTGGAGCCCAATATAAACCATCTTTACATTAGATAATTCTGTGACAATCAGCATATCAAGATTCCTGTACATTTCCCTTCAAAACTGTAGACCCAGTGTTTTATAACCATACTGGACATTTTGTTGTTCAGATAAACAGGTAAGAGAATAATGATTGTTGTTTTTGTTATCATTTGCCATTGATCGAGTCAATTCCGATTCATGATGACCCCCCCCCAAAAAAAAATCAACCGAATTCAACGATAGTTAATAACATTCCATTTGTTTCTGGAGAACATTCACTCATAAATTTTAATTTTTAAGATTCATCTTTTTATTCACACACAATGTCACGTTGAAGTTTATCTTCAGGAATTTTTTATTATTCAATAAGAACTTACTGGAGTTATGCATTAAAATGAATAGTTACTGTTTCATTATAGTATAAAGTTTTCCTTTTATTTTTTCCTTTGACTTTTTAGAATTATCACCGTCCAGTTGGATGAGACCAGTCCTGTAGAAATGAGGTTGGGCCCATTAGCAGACAGGACGATAAACATATCCCACCTGTACGTAGGGGGCGTTCCAGAGAGTGAGGTGACTTCTCTGCTTAGAATGAGACGGTCCTTCCACGGCTGCATCAGAAACCTGGTCTTTAACATGGAGTAAGTTTAACTATGCCCTCAGCATGATTTTGCACTTTCTAACCTCAAAATGGTGTGTGCTAACACTAATCTGCGATCTAATTTTGCTGTTTGAGAGCGCCTAAAATTCTGCAAGTTCCTGAATAACAAGTGAACCCCATTATTCCATCATGAAAATCTCCCAAGTGAATTTTGTTGGATTATAATGATGAACAGGTCTGGCTATCATGCTTTAAAAAAAGACTTGTTGAATATTAGTTCCACAGAACTGTCAATACATACCAGAGGTTAAAATACATCCTGAGAACCATTTAAAAGAATGTAGCGATTGTGTGAGGCACGTTTCTTCTATCTTGAGCTCATTACTTTAGAGAAGCCTTCGCACCTGGGCTCCTCACAGGTTCAGATTAGTAATGGTTTCCCCTGAAACTGTTACTGTGCAGCTAAGAACTGGGAGACTCCCTCCCGGTGCGACACAGCTGACCTGGAGAACCCTGAGCAGTGCTCGCGGTCAGGAGGAGGGTTGATAGGTGCCCGTGGACTCTTAATTCCTTCTGGCGCCCCCCTGCCCTCCTGTCAGCATGTTGGTGGGACAGAAGCTGTATTCTGACCCATAGGGTACCAGAACCTGCCCAGGAGAAGGCATATGGGCGCTGGGCATCAGGAGACTGAGGCTCCCCTCCTGACTAGGCCACTAACTTGTCTTGTGACCGTGAGCCAGTGCTTGGATCTGTCATGGACTCAGAGTCCTTCCTTGCAAAATTACCTCTTAGGAGTCCTTGAAATTTGCAGTAATAAAATGTTACATTGGAGTTCCAGAGTATGATAACATTAGAGCCTTGGCTAACTTATTCGTAGAGTTGATATATTTATTCACCCAATTGTTTGTTCATGGATTAATTAATTGATTGGGCATCTTTATGTTCCTGAAAGCCGTGAGGCTGGGAACTTTGGGGGCAGAAACTTCTCTGTGCTGTTCACAGCCATGTCCTTGGTTCAAAGCACTGGGCTGCATGCTTGGGAAGCACCAACAGAGTACGTGCAGGCACTGAACATGTTGCTAGGGCTGCAAAGCAAAGGGCCTTACGACACGTGTAGCTCATGACCTCAGGGAGAAGGGAAACCTGTAATCGAGAAATCAGTGTTTCATAGAGGCCACCACACAGTGTTGTGGGAACAGGAGGTAGAATCTGTGCCGAGGCAGCCCAGTCAAGGCTGCAGGAGAAGGTAACAGCTTTCCAGGGATGCTCAGGAGTCTGCCAGGTGGAAAACATGGGGAAGGGCAGAAAGGCTTGGGGGTAGGTTGCCATTTCAGGCAGAAGGATCAAACAAGGGGATATATAGGATAATATATGTGGTCTCTTAGTCACTGTGAAAGTTACTATGATGTTATTAGTCATTGTCAAGTTAGCTCTGACACATGGTGACCTGTGTTGCCCATCGTGAGTCACCTTCATGATCACTGGAGTGCTCCAGTCCATTGTTGCAGCCACTGTGTATTTTGAGTGCCTTCTAACCTAGGGGGCTCGGCTTCCAGCACTGTATCGGACAGTATTCTGTTGTGGTCCACAGGATTTTGTTTGGCTAATATCTGGAAGTAGATCACCAGGCCTAGTTTGTCTTAGTCTGGAAGCACCACTGAAACCTGTCCACCATGGGTGATCCTAGTGGTATTTGAAGTACCAGTGGCATAGCTTCCAGCATCACAGCAATATGCAAGCTGCTGCAGTGCAACAAACTGACAGATGGGTGGTGGTTAATTAGTATAAAAGTCATAATATTGGTAATATATTAATGGTTTTAATGGATTTTAATTGTTCAGTAATCAAATGACATTGGTTCATGTATTGGTTTGTAATAGCCTGATTAATTTTGAAAACACTTTCTTGTTTGTATCTAGACTTCTAGATTTCACTAGTGCAGTTGGCTATGAACAGGTGGACTTGGACACCTGCTGGCTTTCAGAAATGCCTAAGCTGGCTCTTCAAGGAGAGGACACCAAGCTTCCACCAGAACCTCAACCTCTACCCAGTCCAGTAAGAATGGTCTTCTTTCCTTATATCAGCCAAGACCAGTCAGAAAAACAGAACCCACGCCAGAGGAAATCACAACGAGGAACTAGTTACAAAGGTGTTGGAAACGTTGGCAGAGCCACCTGGAGCCACAAGGCCCAGGGAGGAGGTGGTGTCACGAGAGCCCAGGAGCCAGGCTGCCCAGAGGGAGCCGAGGCCACACAGAGAGGGTCACCGGCTGGGGGCTGAGACCCTGAAGAAGACAGGCACTGCTAGGGAGCTCACCTGAAGTGGAAAGAGGGAGAGAAATACCCCGGCTTCTTCCCTCCACCTCCCTCCAGTCTCCCACCAGTGCCTTTCATTGGCAGAACCTAGCTACAGGCTATTTTCGAAGAAGCCTGGGAAAGGTGGTTTACAGGGAGGGACATTCCCCTGTGGTCAAAAGGAAGTCAGGGAAATGGGGGGAATGGTTCTCTGAGCAAACTGAAAGATAACGTGGCCCAGGATTAAGCATTGCAAGTAACCAGCAGCCACCATGACTTGGTTACCACATAACGAGCTTTTTGTAGTTTCTGTAAGGACTCCCTGTCACTTTAGATTCAGTCAGACAAATACAAAAATAAGTGCTTAATATAGGACTTCGTACATGTTATTGTTGCCTTTTTAAAAAGTGAAAGATTTGATTCATAAAGGAAAAGCCAGTTTTGACCATTTTTTTTTATAATTTATTATTTTGTAGTTGAGGGTATACGCAGCAGAACATACACCACTTCAACAGCTCCTACATGTACATTTCAGCGATGTTGGTCACATTCTTCAAGTTGAGCAACCATTCTCCCCCTCCATTTCTGAGTGATTCCTCCCCCATTAACATAAACTTACTGCCCCCTAAGTTTCCTATCTAATCTTTCACATTGCTGTTGTCAATTTGATCCCATATAGTTCGTAGAAGAGCACAATGTTCAAGGCAAATATTCTTTACTAGTTAAGCTAAACTATTGTTTGGTTTTAAGAAGATTCAGGGGATAGTTTTGGCTTAAGGTTTAATAGTTTCAGGGATTCATCCAGCCTCTATGGCTCTGGAAAGTCTGGATTGCATGAAAATTTGAAATTGTCTTCCTCATTTCCCCCCTTTTGATCAGGATTCTTCAACAGAATCTTTGATTAAAATATTCAGTAATGGTAGCTGGGCACCATTCAGTTCTTCTGGTCTTATGGCAGGTATATTTACAACAACAACAAAAAAGAGTGGCTACTGAGGCTGCTCATACACAACCAAACACCTCTTGGGATTTGGTTTAGGGTCATAGTTTCATGGCACATCCAAGTTAATTGGCCCAATAACATGTTTAGTGCCTCTCTTCTACCTCCTAATTCATTGCATAGTGCCTGGGATCTTAAAAGCTTGCAAACAGCCATCCAAAGCACAATTGGTCTCTATTCACCTGGAGCAACAGAGGAAGAGGGAGAGTCAGGAATAGGAGGAGGAAACAGAATGTGTGGCTAATTGCCTCCATGAACAAATGCTTTTCTTGCCTTGACCAAATATTTTTAATAGCAGTCACTGTTATTTTTCATTTTCTTTTCTCCCTTTTCATTTTCATCTTTCCTTGATTGAAAGCATGCATTCCAATTATTTGAATGATAGCTCAGTCATCCACAAAGCAGTACCTTCCCAGCAGGGCCGGTGTTTGAGTGTGAAACAGTTTCCTGGTGACATTCACCCCCCAGCCCCAGGCCAGAAAACTCAGTCTGTGACCCCACTGAACTTGTGCTGTCAGTGTGCGGAGGGAACTGACGGGCCAGCCTGCAAGGGGCACCTTCTCTGGGCTCCGACCCTCTGCCGTGACATCTGAGTCCCTCCCGCCTGGCCCCTCCTGTCTGCACCCAGCTCCTCTCAGTATGGATTAGAGACCTGTAACCTGTGGGCAGGAGCTCTGGTGGTGCAGTGGTTCAATAGCTCAGCTGTTGACCCAAATGTCAGTGGTTTGAACCCACCAGCTGCTCCATGAGAGAAAGATGTAGCAGTCTGCTTCCGTAAAGATTTACAGCCTTGGAAACCCTATGGGCAATTCTACTCTGTTCCGTAGGGTCGCTCTGAGTCGGAATGGACTGCACGGCAGGGGGCTTGGTTTGGTTTGTTTAACGTGTGGGCACTGCCAGGTTCACAGTGCTTCCACAGCTGCTCTGCTCTCAATACTGTTCCCAGAGCCCCATCCTCATCACCCCAGAAGGCAGCAGCAAGGCCTTTGCCCCTCAGGCCTGATGAAGATTTGTGTGAATTTGAGTTGGATTTGGAGCTCTACTGGTGCAGTGGTTAAGAGCTCAGCTGCTAACCAAAAGGTGGGCAGTTTAAATCCACCAGCTGCTCCTTGGAAACCCTGTGGGGCAGTTCTACTCTGTCCTATAGGGTCACTATGTGTTAGAATCGACTCACGGCAAAAGGTTTTGTTTTGTTTTGTTTTGTTTTGAGTCAGATTAAGGTGAAAGAAAGAAGCTCAGATTGCCTTGCCAGAGTGATAAAGGGATTGCTTGACTAAATTATTTAAACCAAAGAAGATTACACCAACGTAAACAGGATTTGTGGTTGTTGGTGTTTCGATACAATTGCTTCTGAGGTATTTTCATCCTGGAAACATACACGTTATGAACGGGCCCTGGCTGTGGAAGGCTGAGTGTCCCTGTGCCTTTCTTTCAGGGACACTGTGCGGTGGACAGAGCCCCAGACTTTGTTCCCGGCGCTCACCAGTTTGGCCTGGCGCAGGACAGCCATTTTGTGTTTCCTTTCGATCAGTCTGCTGTTAGAAAGCGGTAAGTATTAGTCTACCATCATTAGGAGGCGTCTGTTTGCTAGATGAATCTGGGAGGTGTCTTCAGCAAGAGTCTTTTCCAAAAGAAGCTTCTTGTGATCTTTAATATGGAGTGCCCGACTTGCAGCCACATGGCAGCAAAGAGATAGGGATTCCGACAGTGGTTGACGTGGGGGTCCTGCCATTCCTGTCTTTACCCCTTCTGGATGATGGCTGGCACATAGGTATCTACCTAAATCAGCCTTTCTTCCAGAATCCCAAGTCCCCTGGATCTAGCATCACCCCATTCCCTTTTAAACATTCACTGATCTGGTGCAATTGCATACCCAAACTCTTTCACTGTGTCCCCAAATTCCTACGCCGCACCCACACCTCTGCACGGATGCTCTGCCTGATACCTTCTGTCTCCTGGGCCCTTCTCCGTGAAGCCATACCATACCCCACAAACTTCAAGGCCTGGCTAGCTGAGGTTTCCCAACTCCATATTTCTCCTCTCTCCTTCACATCTCCAGCTCCTCTGAAGGCCATGCCTTTGGACTCTACCTTCTTGTCACTGTTGTCTGTGAGTCACCACCCCAGTCACCTGCTTTCAAGCCTTGGCACAGTGTCTTGTTTCTATGCCCCTGCCATCATTCTCCACAGACTCTGGAGCCATCCGACACCTGGCTGTCCAACCCTCAGGCTCCTACCCACCAGAGGTCTCCTCAGCCACCGTTCCCTGTGACCATACCCTTTGCTTCTCCATACGTGTCCACCTCACCTCCAGCATCCCTTCTTTAAGCACCCTGTCACCTGACCTCCTCCTCCTCGGCCCTTCAGCTCTCTTCTCTACTTGGTTCTTTCCCACTCCAGCAGTTCTTCAGCCACAGCATGGCCTCTAAGCTATTAACCCTGCTTCTTCTCACCACCATCAGCCCCCTTCTCTTGCCCCCACATCCTAATGTATCCCCTGCTCAGATAGATTCCGTGTCATTATTATAAGTGTTCCTTCACAAACTCCCTTAACCCTCTCATCTCCTCCACTGTTGTAATCCCAGGTTAAAACCCAACAGTCTGCTTTCTCCATGCCAGAACCCAAACTGATGATCAAAGCTGGTGAAATGCATATCTCTTTCCTGATGGGCTGAACTTTAAAACAATGGCCACACATCTCAGATGGACCCCCTAAACTACACGGGAGTCAATTACATTTCCTAATATATTCTTTTTTTTTTTATTTCCCATAATGACTTATTCATAGCTTCTCTTCATATCTCAAAACTCCTATACATCCTCACACCCTTTCTTTGCACCCCAGCTGACAACCTTACCTCACTGAGAAGACTGAAGCTGTCGGACACTGTCCTAGTCATCCAGTTCTGCTCTAACAGAAATACCACAAGTGGATGGCTTTAACAAAGAGAAGTTTATTTCCTCACAGTAAAGTAGGCTGAAAGTCCAAATTTAGGGCATCAGCTCCAGGGGAAGGCTTTCTCTCTCTGTCGGCCTTCTCATCAGTGTTCCCCAGGATTAGGAGCTCCTCCGCACAGGGAACCTGGGTCCAAAGGACATGCTCTGCTCCTGACACTGCTTTCTTGATGGCATGAGGTCCCCCTGTCTCTCTGCTCACTTCTCTGTTTTATAGCTCAAGAGGACACAATCCAGTCTTGTAGATTAAGTCCTGCCTCACAAACACAACTGCCACCCAACCTCCCTCATTAACATCATAGAGACAGGATTTACAACATATATGAAAATCACACAATACTGGGAATCATGGCCCAGCCAAATTGACACACACATTTTTGGGGGACAGTATTCAATCCATGACAGAGAGGAACACCTTCATCTGTTTATGGCCAAAAAGATCCACCACCTGCCTTTGCTCCCAACTCGCTGTCTCTTTTCCTGTTACCGTGGACAAAGGGTCCTGTTCCTAGCAAGGCCACCCCTCACCTGTCTTCTGGGTCCCGCGCCCCTGTCCTTCCCAAAGACACCAGCACCGTCCATCCCCCTCATTACCATGTGGTTACCATCAGCACAGATGTGCTCGGTGATGAGAACTGCAGCAAACCCCTGGGCAGAGACTGTTCCCCATGTTTTACACATGTAACTATGCCTCATAACTGTCCTGTGAGGAAGGTGTTATTATCCCCATTTTACACTTAAGGAAATTGAGGCATAGGGAAGTGAAGTTATCTACTCAAAATCACACAGCTAAAGAGAGGTAGAGCTAGGATTCAAACCCAGGCAGTCTGCCTCTAGAGTCCATGCCCGTAACCAGTGCGCTATACGCCCCTCTGTCAGTTTCTAACTTTTCAGACAGAAACTCCCCACAGCACTCTTATCCACCCCCACCCGCCACACACACATACACAATATCCAGACTCTGTTTCACAGTAAAACTTTTTGAAGGAGTTGCTGTTGGCATTTGTCTGCCCCTTCCTCACTCTGCCTGTCCAGTCAGCCCCCTCCTTACTCCACAGGTTGCTCTCCCTGGAGTTATCTAAGACCTACACGTGGCCACGCTCAGCGACGCCTTCTCTGTTGGATGCTCAGCAGCACTGCTCACACTTGGCCACTGGAGTCCTCTCCTCATTTTCCTGCTATGTCTCTGCCCGCCCTTCTCAGTCTTCTCGGCTGGTTCGTCTCCCAGCAGAGAGAGCCCCAAGGCCTGTTCCACACATTCTTCTGTAGTCTCGTGGCTTTAAATGCCATCTAGATGCCCCAAAGCCCACCTCACTGGTCCTGACCTCCATGGAGTGTATAACCATCTGGCTATTCTACCGCCCCACATAGATGTAAATAGGCACCTCAACTTTAACACACCAAAAGAGAATTCACGATCTTCCCCACACCTACCCTCCTGGTCTTCACCATTTCCGGAGACATCCTCACATTCATCTGGCTGCCCAAGGCCCAGATCTAGAGGTTATGTTTTATTGTTTTCTTTCCCTCATTCACGAAATTCAATCTGTCAGTAAGTCTGATTGCTTTTTCCTCTAGAACATTTCAGAATTCGTTGAACTCCTCCTCATTTCCACCACCACCACCCTGTAGTCCAAGCCACCATCTTGTCTCTGCTGGACGATTGTCACTGCTGCCTGACTGGCCCACTGCCACTGTCACTCTTGGCTGATCCAATTCATTCTTCACACATCAGACAGAGGGAGATTTTTAAGGTGTAAATCAAACCGTACCAACCCCATCTCCTTCTTAAAACCCTCCTATGACTTCCCAGTGCACTTAAAATCTCCTCACCCACTGTGATCCAGCCACATCTCCTTTCCTCTTATTCCTTTGTGCGTTCGTAGCCTTGCACTTCTTCTGAGGGAAGACCTCCCAGATACAGCCTTCCTTCCCCGTCTGTGATGGTTCTCCCGCATGGTCACCACTGGGGACACTTGGCTGTCAGCCATTACTGAGCTCTTTCTTCCAGCATGCACTCCATTACCCTAAAAAAGGTTTTTTTGCTGAGCTTTGTGCGGCTTGCTCCTTCTTGTCATTCAGGTTTGAACTGAAACATCATCTTTTCAGAAATGCCCGCCATGACTACTTAACGTAGCCACCAGTCCCCTCTGCATGACCCAGTCTTAACTCCCTGCCCAGCACTCTGCACTCTCGGGTGTATTTTGGATGTTAGTTTCCGGAGAGGCGAGATCTTCTTTTGTTCACTGCTTTATCCTCAGCTCCTAGAAGAGTTCTTGGCATATGCAGGTACACAGTAACCATCTGTGGAATGAATGGATGGATGAAGGACTCTCTCCTCCCACCTTCTCTTTTATATATAAATATTGAAACAATTATGGAGTTCTCTCTTTGCAGTTATGTTAAAAATTAAGAGTAAAAGCTGATTCCTTTCTGAATGTTGAGCTCTCATTTCCTTCCAGGCTTTCAGTTCAGCTCAGGCTGCGAACTTTTGCCTCCAGTGGTCTGATTTACTACATGGCTCATCAAAACCAAGTTGATTATGCCACACTCCAGCTCCATGGGGGCCGCCTCTATTTCATGTTTGACCTTGGCAAAGGCAGGACAAAGGTCTCACACCCCACGCTGCTCAGTGACGGCCAGTGGCATGTGGTACGTTCTCCAGAGGTTTTTGATCACGTGCTCTGAGTTGTATTCAACCTGTAACTGTTGTTCCCTCCATTTCACTGAATGTCTAGTCTGGTGTCTCCCCCATAGAACGTAAGCTCCATGAAGACAGGGGCTTTTCCTGTTTCTTGAAATATCCTCCAGGTTTTGACAGTATTTACTGCTGACGCCTCACAGGCACTCAGTAAACACTGGCAGAAGGAACGAAAGCTACCAAAAATGCCCTCTCTACCAAAAATACCCTCTACTTGACAAGACGTAAATAAAATCCACCACGGCATGAACGGACCAGAGCTGAGCTCCTGGCATTTGCTTTCTGATAAATAGGACTCTGGAAGACTTTCTCTTCTGAAGTGTGCTTTACCCAAGCCTGTGCCTGCCCATCTGCCAGGGTCAGCCCCTTCTCGACACCAATTGTGTGAAACCCTGAGCCTCCTTAGGATTCAGTTCAGGTTATTACAGCTATAATTAACACGTGTTGCAAAGAAACATCCGTCAATGCTTCTTCAGGTTCCTTCGAAATCATGGATGCTTTCTTTTTGCTTTAGGTCAAGACAGAGTACTTCAAAAGAAAAGCCTTCATGACTGTTGACAGCCTAGAATCCCCAGTGGTGACCACCGTGGGAGATGGCACTTCGTTGGATGTGGAAGGGAAGTTCTACCTGGGAGGCCTTCCCGCCGAGTACAGGGCCAAAAACATTGGAAATGTAAGCGTCTTTTCTGCAGAGGGGCCCGTTTTTCCCTTCAGTGGGGTTGTGCTTATTTTACACAGGAAAGTAGTTCTCATGTATTTATGGTTAAATCACCTTGTTTGAACCCAGGCCTTGGCTTCAGTATGCATGTCCTTTCAAACCATGTCCCCAGATAGGGTATTGGGGCTTCCCCTTAGTGTCTGACCAGTCTTTCCTGCCTGTTAGTTAATGAACATTTCCATTTTTCTAGTCACTGAGCCGCACTGTGAATGAGGAAAGACCATTACATTTGTATTTCCAGATTAGTAAGCTCGGCATTCTTGATTTCCATGATATTTAATTGAAATAATAGAAAACACTTTTACTGCATTATCAGCCCAAACGCTCAAATGGTAGCTCTAAATTAGACATTCATCTTAAGTATTGTAGCAGCTTAATTTCAAGAACAAAAAGCTAATATTTTAATTGCTTTGATGAACGAATCAAATATGATGAAGTATAGGAAAAATATGTCTTCGCCATTCCTGTGTAATCACCAGCATGTACTCTAACATGGCGTTTACTTCAGATCACCCACAGCATCCCTGCCTGCATTGTCGAGGTGACCATTAACAGCAAACTGCTGGACAAGGACCGCCCAGTGTCTGCCTTTGCAGTAAATAAGTGCTATGCAGTGGCCCAGGAAGGAACTTTCTTTGACGGAAGTGGATACGCTGCTCTTGGTATGTATTATCAACAATCTCAAAAGAGACCCTTGGGCTCAGCCTGTACTCTAAGATAATGTGCATCCGAGAATTATATGCTAAGACAGGACCCAACTGGGCAAGGGGGCAGGAAGACCACATCCAGCTAAATGTCCCAGTTCACTCTAATTTCTTGGCATTTATGTAAGAGCCTCCTCACCTCCTGTGTTCTCCAGATGGCCTGACGGCCCTTCCTCCCGCCAGCCATACTGTGACGCCTGGCAGAGGGCAGACACCCCACGCTGGCGTCATCTATCCTGTCCCCAAATCTACGTAAGGCACACTTTCATGGTCCAACCCAACAATGGACTTTGAAATAAAAACTAACTGAATGAAATATATAGATCAGCAAGCTGAATGCAGGTCAGATTTGATGAAGACATTATCTCCATTTAGATTGTTGAAAACAATCAATTTCTAAGAGATGGAATTTAAATCTCCAGAATCTTAGAATATAAGTTCCTCAAGACTTAGAATTGGCCTCTGTGATCCATCTGACTATCCCCTCCCCATTTTATCTACTTGATTTGCAGGTTAACTTCCTGTTGGCCCAAAGAACCACACTCCCCTCGGCCCCTGTTCTCCTCTCTACCTCAGGAGCTGTATTTCTCTGGCCAGGTCGCCCCCTGGCTTCCAGGAAAGCTCTGAGGCTTCTCTCCTTCACTCCTTCCTTCCTGTGGCGGCTCAGCCAGTAGCTCCCCGGCTCTGGCTTTGGCCCTTCCCGCCATGATTTCACTACCTTCTCGTATTTTCCGTCAGCCCTGGGGATAAGAACAATCACCTGCTATAGCTTATACCCCCAATTTGACATCCCAGCTTTTTTATCACCTGAGTAGAAATTCTCTCAAACTCCCACTTTTGAAAAGACTAATGTGGGCCCTAACTGATACATTAAGTAATGATGGTAACCAGTATGCAGATACTGGCAAAATAAAACCAACCTCTGGATACACGATAAGGGATTATACGGATCAAATCCTATTTGTTTTTTGGTGTATTTGTTTTTTCCCCCAACAGTACATGGGGAAGACTGCTGAGAGATGGCAGTGTCCATAGAGCCAGGCAGAACTGGTACTTGTCCAAAATGCAAGGCTGTGAGGGTGCCCAATGCCCACCCAGCAGCGGGTGAAAGGACATGCCTCTTCTCAATCTGTCTGGCTTTTCCCAGCAGATTGCATGTGCCAGCATTCTGTAAGAGCATCATTTCGCCTGACAGATGTGGAAGCCGAGGCTCAGAGGGTAGAAGTGACTTCCGTGTGGTGACGGATCCAGAGGAAGAGCTAGAACCAGATCTCCTGAGCCTCCCTCCGTCAGAAGTGGGACTGCGCAGCCCACAGCTGCCCAGCCCGCAGCCTGCCTGTGAGCTGAGCCATTCTGAGCCTGGCCTCTTACTCTGTGCTGTCCTTGTGTTTTCAGTCAAAGAAGGCTACAAAGTCCGGTCAGATGTAAACATCAGCCTCGAGTTCCGTACCTCCTCAGTGAACGGCGTCCTCCTGGGGATCAGCAGTGCCAAAGTGGATGCCATTGGATTAGAGATTGTCAGTGGCAAGGTAGGTGCTTAATCTTGGCAGCGCCCTCCTGTGCCCCGATGTGGGAGACAGAGAGGTGAGAAGCAGTATTCATACCTAGATCCAATTATCTACTGTAACAGAGTGGAGAAAGGGCTCAATAAATATTTAAAAACAGATACTCCTAAAAAGGCTTTTCAAAAGAAACTTATTTTATAATTTGAAATTAAACTTACAGCACAGTTGCACCTGCAGTACAGATTTTTCCACCCATGCCTGTCCCCCTAGTATATACTTAACTTTTTGCGGGGAATAATTATAGATTCATAAGAAGTTGCAATGAAAGGTACAGAGAGGTCCCCACGCACCCTCCACCCTGCCTTCCCAGTGTTAGTTAGCATCTTGCTGAAATCAGCCCCTGTTTTCAGGACAGCAGGAGCTGATCAGTTCACTGAGAGTATCAGTCCATGCCAGCTGATAGCACCTATGAAAGAGCATTTACTGATTCCCTTCTGACAGCCTGTAGATACTCTGCCACAGCAAGCAGGGCCACAAAAATCTAAGTCTTGCAAAAGATGGGGGTGGTGGAGAATTGCAAGTACACAGTTGTGTGTTTCTTATGCTGTATGTGAAGTTATTCTGTATTATTTGAAGGTGGACTATGAAAAATTAAAGATGTATATTATAAACTCTTGGGCAACCATTAAAATTTTTTAAAGAGCAACAAATAATCAGCCAATAATACAGATAAAATGCAAAACATACCAGAAATTACTTTTTTGGGGCAGCCATTATACTTCTGATAAAATTTTTTACATGTCATAAAAATTTGCAAGTGGATACAAAGGTTTTCAAAATTCTTTTAAGCTGAGGTGGGGGAAAACGTTGGCTGTAAGCCACAGTGCAGAGAGGTGGTAGTATGATGTAGAGGCAGTTTGGTTTAGATGTGAACATGAAGAGGAGAGGGCATGAAGTCAGATAGGAGCGTTTCCATCCTGTCCACCCCGTTCTGCGATATCCGAGGGGTCAAACATCCAGTTGGGATGTGACTGAAAGAGTAACTCAGGCTCCTTCCCCTGGGGGTGGCCATTTGCCCTTTTGGAAATATTAAGAATAGCCTAGCGGTTCCGGCAAAATGGTGCTCTAGGCAGAAGCACCACGCTGTCCCTCCACAGCAAAGATCTGAAAAACTAAGCCGAACAGAGAATACAACAATCCTGAAACCCTAAAACATCAAATGAAGAGATAAAGAGCTCAGCCAAACACTAAATCGAGTGAGAAAACTGACAGAGAACGGACAGCGAGGAGAGATTCATGCAGAGGTCCCCTACGAGCTAACGCAGTGCAGATCTGCCATCTTGGACTCCTATCAGAGACCAGCAAGCAGGGGGTACGACAAAGGAGCCTCATGGAGCGTCCAGCGGGAGACAAAACAACCGGTAATTTGCGATATATGCTTTCCCACCCCCCACCCTTTTTCACCCCCACTCGGCCTCCTCTGCTTCCCACGGCCACAATCTCTTGACTGGGAATCACCGGCTGCTTGGATTCCACACACCCAAACGGGCCGGCTCTCTGAGTGCCATTGTTGGCTGCTGGTGTTGCTTTTTTCCGCTTCTTTTGATTTATTCCTTACCTCTCACCACCTGCCCCTCCTTTTGCTCAAATACCTGGCTCCGTGCGCCATCTTTGCTTCTTCCTGAGGGGCTGTGTAGCTCCATTCAAGTGTGGAGCTGCTTCCCAGTCTGGGCTGCCTCGCTGATGGGATCCCGGGGCTTTTGTTCGTTTGTTTGTTTTGAATTGTTTGTTTGTTTTCTTTTCCTTTTCTTGAGTTAGGAGCCCTTTCTGGCCAGGCGGTGCTGTGTGGAAATGACACTTCCCCCTTGGCTTGCACAGACGTGCAGAGGGATCCCTGAGGACATTTCTTTTCTTGATGGTTTTTTTTTTTTTCTGTTTTTTGCGGGGCTTTTCTAGTTTTTTTTTTTCTTTTTTAATTTGTTTTGTTTTCTTTTCCCTCTTTTTCCCTTTCTGTCTTTCTTCATTGCTCAGTTTCTCATCACTCTATATATTCCTTCTCTTTCTGTTCCCTGAATACCTGGCGTTGTATACCTCTAGTAGCCAGGCTGTACTGCAACACCTGAAAGCGACTTCCCCAGACCTCATAGCTGCACCGGTGGGATCCCTGGGAACTTTGTCGTTTTTTAACCTTTTGGATTTTTATTTATTCATTCTTTTATTTTCTTCCTCTTCCCCTTTCTGTTTTTCTCCATTTCATAGTCTCTCATCACTCCAACGGCAAACTCCCCAAACATTCTTTTTTGTTTGTTTGTATGTTTTGGGCTCCTGTTCCTCTCTCCTCTCTCCCATATCCATCTTAGCTCCACACATAACAATTTCCTTGCTGCATCCTGCCTACCTGCACCATGTCCTTGACATCACACCACCAAGCAGCACATGCACGGCCTACTGAAACCTGCCCTGCACTGATTACCGATCCGCTCTGGAAGCTGTAGTAAATGCCACAAACAACCCATCCCCATAACTCCTCTTCAGCTAGACCTGCCCTGCTGTACAATATCTGAGTGACTGACCCTGCCAATTGGATAAGGAGGCGAAAAGTATTGTGCCCACAGACAAGCAAACAACAAAGAACACACAGTCCGCCTGCTCAGACACAGTCAAATTTAAAACAAAACAAAAGGGGACAAAACAAACAAATCTACAATCAATAAACGAGAAAAATAACTACTGAATGCCCTGAAAACAGCAGACAATATCAAAACACTTACAAAAACAGGACAGAATGGTTCCAGTATGCATCCAAAATAAAACACCAGATTACTCTCCAGTGGAAGAAAATGCACTAGAACTACACGATAGGGAATTCAAATCTCTAATACTCAGAATTCTCCAAGAACTCAGGCAAATAGCTGATAAACATGAGTAAAAAATAGACACATTCATGGAAAATACAGACAAAAAATTGGAAGAATTCAGGAAAATAATGCAGGAACAAAATGTCAAAATAAATTCACAACTAGAAATTATACAAAGACAACAATTTGAAATCCAAAAGATAAACAACAAGATTTCAGAAATGGACGGTGTCATAGAAGGGCTGAGAAGCAGATTTGAAACCATG